ATATAGTCACTCTCAGATTACGCAGACGTCAGCTGTTTCTAACGAGCTTGGCTTTTCTGTTGTAGCGAACAATGGATGATGAATTCCAAACTGTGCCGTGACCACCACAGGAAGGTGTTTCGATCACGCCAATAGTTTTCACCAAACGAAAAAGGTTATTCGAATATTCAGCCACAAGTTAATCCTTTTCATAAACAGTTATTCAGATGGCCCAACCTTTTGCATCAACAATGTCTGCCACCAAATTTCTATAAAAGCCAAATGCACGTGCCCTACAAAGTCGTAGGTTCTGGGATGCACATTATACCACAAATTTTTTTCACCACAAAATAATAAAAATCTTGACAATTTCATACTTCTTGTAGAAAGCTTAATAGCTTTCCCTTTTTAAGATAAAGGTTCAGTAGTTAAATATTATTACTTATATCTCTAACACAAAGCAATATTGTTAGATAATTAAGCTTTTGAAAAACCCTGTGCGTAATAGCCATATAGATGGTTGATGCACAGAGATGGATATGAGTAGATAGATAGACAATTCTCTTAATATCTTGGACTCTTTCCGAAATAAACTATTCCCTTTAAAATTACTCTATAATAGAGCACTAAAATACATATCATTGGTTTGTTAAATGAAAGTGCATCTTTCACCTGTATTAAAAAATTTTTGTTACACATGTTTTGGTCCAACTTCTATCAGAGCATGCTAGCAATTACACAAATTTGTTTGCATGTCCAAGGTTTGGCCTATATTTATATAATAGCTTTACATATCAGCTTTTCAAGTTCAAGTGGAGAGCTAGGCAGAGACTAAAATAATTGATTTTCTCACAACTGACAACCACTAATGAAAGGGAAAATGTTTTGGTTATCACAGAGCAAGAATTATTTGACCAAATTCTCTTATAATTCATCTACATAGAAAGGAAATCAGAAGTGAGTAATCTATTATAAAATTTTGAACTGAAAACGTTATATCAAACAGATTATTATAATATCAACAGACACCAGAAGCCATTATTATCGTCTGCTACTCAAGAGAACTGGTTTCAAAATGTATGAATCCAATGGCGACTTTTGGTATTGCAGGGACCGGGGCCAATAACATCTGTAGGTCATTGTTCTTTACCACTGTTTTCTTTCTTAGGTACAGGTCTCTTTTTGATACCATAAGCACAGAGCTTGAGGACATAGCCTCCCTGAACCTACTTAAACTGCCACAATATCAATTATAGGTCAAATAGTTTATTTATTCAACATCCAATTTCTTATACTAACATAAATTGGGGCTCTAGTCCTCAATTAACTGCAGAATATGTACTAATAAGATCATGCAGAATAGGTAGCTTGTAGTGAACCATTATCTAGAGAATGATGGCTACTCAAGTTCAGTAGCCAAAATACACATGAAATCTTTACTTAAGTTATTGTTCAAGAGTGCAAATATTTGTTCACTATCTTTATTGCCAGGGTCGAGATTGATTTCAGCAACAATCATTTTTATTTAAGGTTTTTTCAATACCTTTGACGAGTACTAGTAGTTTAGATTGCATTGATCTTGACCATTGAAATATTTCAATGAATTTCACTGTTTGGTTGCTGTGAATTGTTCTGCTGTTGGTTGGTATTGAGCTAATGATGTGAACAACTGGTTAACAACTTGTACTCATTATTGAAAAAATACCTTCAGTAAACAGAACTTTGATGAACTCATCATAGTCTCACGTATTGGGGAATTTTCTACTAATCTTTAAAGAAACTTGCAGAAAATCATAAAAGAAATAAGAGCAGAGCAGAGGTAGGAGCAGAAAATTCAGACTTATTAAGAACAAACAATAATCTAATCATAAAAAATAAAAAATTTAAGGAGCTATGAAATTCTATCCTAGTTGAGTACAAAATTTTAAAAACTAGCTCAATATTCAAAGGAAAAAAGTAAAATTAAAAAACCTGATAGCTTAAAGAAATAATTTTGACCCACATGTAGTATCCCATACTACTTTTGGCATCATGATGCCTTTCGAAAGGAAAATAAAAATTTGAAGATTCAAATATTTTCAAGATTGAGCAGGAAGATTTATAGAAATAAATAGAAAAAGTAGTGTCAAGCTCCCCTGTAAAAACCAGATCTGAAACAGACTATCTGTATTAGAGGTTTTTTTAAATGCTTAACCGGTATAGCAAAAAAAGCATTTTACAATTATTTCACTAAGGAAAGTCACAGTAAAAATACTGGCAAAAACAACAAAAGCAACATCACTCCAAAACTTAGGGAAAAAATGGACATAGAACCCTATTAAACCATCAACCCAATAACCTACAAACTGAGACATCATTTTTGAAATTTGAAGCATCCAGGAAGAAGACGAACCTAGATTTTCAACTATTTATAAATTAATACCTTTAATATATGTGATACTATATATTTTATCTTGTAAATCTTTAACTTCTATACTATGTAAATTTTCAACTTTAATTCTTAAAATTTTTCAATTTCTATTCTTGTAAATTATTAACTTTCATTCTTGCAAATATCAACTTTCATTTAGTAAAATACAGGACTTGATTGATACCACCAATTCAATTTACTGAATAAATTAACCTGTATAAACATAACAGATTATTGAAAACAGCAACTGGTCTACCTCCTTCAAAAGAACATAAACTTATGTAGAGCATTATTCTCAAAGATGGAATTCCTTGATGCCATATGAACTGAATTTAAACTCAAGGGGCTATTCAATAATTACATCGTGCCTTGAGGGTAGGTGGCTCAACGTGATTTTTGTGATTCTATGTGAAGGTAAATTAGTGGAGGTGGGTAAGAAAAGGTCACAGTAAGAAAATCTGTCTGGTTGCCAAAGACAATGGCTTGGTGTAATGGTTTTTCAAAAGCTAGAATGGCATGCAATCGATGACATCAACTTTGATGATGAGGATGGTGATATTCCAGAAAGTGTTAAAATGAAACCTTTGAATTGGATGATGTAAAGGCAGTTTGGACGACTGACAATAATGCTATGTTGTTTGCTTTTGCGCATTGACATAATGTTATACATACTAGGTTTTTTAAACTGTAGTTGAAAAAACATGAAAGAGGAATGAGACTTCTTCATTTCTTCTCTTTTCCCTTTTATTAGCCTGAAATTTCGTTTACGAAGTGGAGGTTGGAGGGTGTTTGTGTTGAGCATGACATAAGGAGAGGGGGTCTTGTATAGAGGGTGCCCTCTCCTTAATTAGCTAAGCTACTGAGAGAGCTCCTTCTTAAAAATTCCTCTTCATACAAATTTTCTATAGTAGCTATATAATAATTTTCTCTATTTTTGTTTAGTCTCTATGTTTGTACTTTAAATTGTAGCCTGTAGTTCTTCATTTTGTTGTTATTTACTGTTTTTGAAAAACTTTGTATGTTGTGGAAATTAAAATTAAATGAGCTGAACAACTGGACTGAACAAAGTTTACGGAGCGTGGTAACGGTGGGGGGGTGGGAAGGGGTAGGTCAAAAAACAATTTAGCTTGACGTAATTATTGAACAGTCCCTAAGAGAAGATATAGGAAAACAAAAATAGGATCTAGAATAGGACATACGTTTCTTTATCAAATATTGATAAATTTCGTATTAATTTTAGTTAGATGAAGTAACAGTACAAAGTGCAAAAATTGTCAACACGTGTCACGTGTCATGAGGATTTTACCATTTTACTAAATTAGATACTGCACTTAACGAGTCAATCGATAAAAAGTCTTGTGAAAATCCTCATGAATAAAAAACGAAGCTTAAACCACATTTCTCACCTGTTAGTGTAACAAAACACTAGGTAGTCCTCCATTTTCAAAACATTTCGTCTAGAGCCTTCCTTAGCTTCTGTCTCTCCTGTCCGCCATAGTAATTGGAAACGAGGCTATAATATCCCGCCTTTTTTACTGGAGTTGTCTAGTTTCCATACTGCTCGACCTGATGACGTAATTAGTTTACCCTAAACCTAACCCTAAACAACCTAACCCTAAACCTAACCCTTCACTTGCAATAATTAATCATGCTAATTTATGACTATGAATCACGCTTATTTATGACTATCAGGTCGAGCAGTATGAAGCTTAACAATTCCTTTTTGACTAGCCAAAAAAAGGAAATGACGAGTTAGCAGTTTGAGACGATTTGTTAAAGACACGATGGCGGAAAACGGCTGACCATGTATTTTAGTAGTTAGTAGCAGTGTGAGAAAAAAATGAGCAAAAGGGACCCCTATTTGAAACATAGATCTTTTATAGTTTTTGGAGGAACATGAGTCTCCTAAAGAGTTACTGTAGTTACAGTCAGATGTCAAGGAATTTAAATTCACTTTTTCATCCTTTTTGGTTGGCTTGTGCCTCTCTCATCAAAAAGGTTATCAGTCGATTTGGATGAATCATAAATTGAGTCTTTATGTCAAATATTTTTTAATCTGTTCTCGTCTTTATCTATTTACATGTTGTTCGTTAACGTGGAAGTTTTGATGGAAGTTTTGGTAATTTAGAGCACGTCGAGTTATCACCAGCTCTAGTTCTGTCCCTATAAGCCAAGAGAATTCTTACAAATGTGACTACTGGCAAAAAAGTTTTATACAGGGCAAATGTTGAGTTGGCTTGGCTTTTTTGGTTTTCTTGGAAAAAGTGATTTCAAGAGCTGCTGCAAGTTATTTAAAGTCTCAAAAAGTCGTTTGATTGATGCCTCCATTCATTGAAGATAATTACATCAATAGATCGCTCAAGCCCTGTATACATTGTTGTAGCAAAGAAAAATTATCATATGTACGATGGCTATTGAGAACCGATAAAGAATGAAAATGCAATACACTCATTAGGTCTTTGTTAAAGAATGTTTTGTGAAGATTTAATTGTAGGCTACATTGATTAGCTGATATGCCCCCTAATTGCCAGCATTTTATGACATCTTTGAAAACACTCTTTCCTCTCAATTCGTATTTTGCAACAAGAAATGGTCTCAGACATAGACAATGTTAGAATTTCCGTTAATTTTGTATAAATATTACATATTCTATTTGTTTTCTGTAAATATAAACATGCATACATACATACAAATATATCTCAATCAAAATTTACAATTTGAATGACGACGTTATTAGAATAAATGTAACCATAGAAAATTAAGTACGAGAAGGGATGAGAAAAAGCAAATAGATCTAGGTACATCCACGCTCAGAATGTAGACCAGGGGTTAAAAAGTCATTTTGGTGCTGTTAATATACTTCGTTCCAAAGTTTGATCATATAATAACCGTTTTGGATTGCAAAGAGAAAGGGTTAGATTATAAGTTATATTTCAAAAAGATATATACAAGTTGCTGGTGAAAATTTGAGGTTGCAATTGAACATCTTCCTCTGAAACTACCCTTATATTCTTTGAAAATATATTTGCGAAGGAAAGTGAAAGCCAGAAGTACTCTGTAAACATAAATTTATACTTTAAGATTAATGTTTGTAACATCGATTAATTACGCACGAAAGCAAAATAATAACTTCTTTAGTCGTTTAAATGACAATTCTATAAAAATGCTCATTGACAATGACGTCACTTTGTGTTGTCATGTTTCGTATGATTATCAAGATAAACTAACAAAAAATTAACCGTCGTTAACAAAATGTCAGTTCATGCATAGAACGCTAAACCTATTTAACATATTCTACATCTATTAAACTATAGTATAACAATATGAAGTGATATGTACATCATCTACCATTTCAGACAACCAATAACAAAACAAGACAGTAGAAGCACTTTCCTCAGACCAGCTTAAGTATGTTCTCTAACTTTGAAGACAGACTTCCAGGGCACACATTTGCATTAAGATTTGAAAACAATCTAGAATCCAACATTGAGTTTGTGAATGGCTAGATGTCTTTCACAAGAAGTGAGTTTCGTAAAAGCGTCTTTGACGTTTGTTGCTGCAAAAACCTGCCAAGTGGCCACTAATTGCAATTCATCTTTAGATTTTAACTGAACCGTCTTTATGCTCAAGGTTCTGAAATTGAAAAGAGATCAAACTTTAACAATTTTGTGGAGACCAAGCAAATACGATGGGTGGAAAGGGGTCCGTTCATCTAGTGAAACTTTTACTATGTAAGCTGATAATAAAACAGAACATGATAAAATCATAGTAGGAAAGCAAAAAAGAAGGAAAGTAGAAAAATAGGAAAGACTCATATGAATACTCTCTCAAACCTGCACAACATGTGAGCAAAAGCATTGAAACGAACTCATTATATACATTGGTCAAGATAACAGCATTCAGAACAACTCACCACAAACTCTGCAAGTTCTGTGACAGTAGCTCCGAGTGTAATGCTTATGGATATTGCATAGATGTGGATAGGCCATAAAAAGGAAACATCCTGTCTTCATTCTGTCTTTACAACGGTCTGTAAAGGAATTTAGTTGAGGATCAGGCATAGAATAAATCCTAGAATACGAGTAAATTAGCAAATTTGAGCAATATCTATATAGGCAATATCTATATGAGCAATATAGGCTAAGCAATATCTTCAAAAATTTCAAAACATGGCGAAAATCTTCAGAAATAAACTGAGTGAGATTTGAAAAAATTTCGAATAAAGTAAAGTTCTTCACAGTTTGAGGATGATCAATCATGAACAAAGTACTCAAAATGTAACCAACGCACCTTTCCTCACTCTGTATCTTGGTTTCTTGCATTTGTAGAGAAGATAAACTTGTTTCAGGTCAATTTTACTGAAGGTTTTTCCACCCAGTGATTCAGTGGGATTCTCTTTTGCCTGCATTGTGTCTCCGAAATTCTTTGTAAATGCTTTGTTGTCATAATGCATTAAAGAGTGTATGTCATATGGCATGCGCAATGTATCTATTATGCCGTGGTTGTAAGTCAAGAAATTTTTCTCGGCACCTGCAAATGTAAAAACCGCGTTAAATCCGCGTTTAAACCGCGTTTGAACCATGCTTAAACCGAGTCGAACTGATTGTAAATTGATTCTAGTAGACACTTTAAAAACGAAATGTCTACACAAATAAAATGCACTGCATATAACTACTGAGAAGCTCCTATGTTATTTCCTTATCTGGATATAGTTAAAGCTATGTTCTTATTCTTATTGCCTGCGTCACAGAATCAGTGCTCCTCACTCTTTTCTTCTAACCACTCGCTCGATTTTCCCAGGTCCTCTAAACATATGATTAAAAGGTATTAAATTTTACTTCAAACACTCACCATATATAATATTCCACCATAAAACTTTAACGAAACTATCTCTGTCGTATCTGGAATTTTCATGGAAGAACCCGATAGCGTGCATAAGCTCGTGAAGAACATTCTTTCGGCCGGCACATCCATCTCCAAGGGAAACTAACTGCTCACCGCCTTGACGTCCAACCTTTGAGTAACATCTAAAGGGATGAATGCAGCTGTATTGAGTATTGTTAGAGTTACTGAATGGCTTTAAAGTTAAACTGCGAGAAACAGGGGTTCGTTTTTACAAAATTTGCGTCTTTTCCCCCCAACAACCGTCATCACTTTTGGACTGTAACTGCGGCGTTAAGCGCTAAGAGGCTCGGGCGGAATGATAAAGAATACCATCTTAACCAAGGTGGATTATACTTATGATGAATAATTCAAAGCTTCCAAAAATATAAAACCAACTAACATTTAGCTTGATAAAATAGAGTAGTATCTCATAGCAGAAGAGAAGCCAGAACATAAGACGCCGGATATTGTAATAAGTCACTTTAATTGACCTTGATAAGTAACCTCGCCAAAACTAATCCTTTCAAAATCTTTGAAGTGCACCCTCATGCTCTGACATGCAAATTGTTATAAAGAAAACCTTACAGATTAGACATTCCGTAAGCCTGCTGACGCCTTTTTGCATCAGCCTCTGCATTCTAAAAGGCTAGCTGTAAAGATGTCTGGCCAAAATATGCAAATGCGGCAACAAACTGAGCATCTTTCCTCTGTTAGATTAACTAAAAGCTCAACTACAGGCCTATTTCAAACAAATGAAACAAGTAGTAAAACAAGTAGAACGTGTGACAAAGGTCCTGTTGAGAAACGGACGCAGGGCAGTTTACTAATGGAGCAGAACCAATAATAATTGTTATGTGCAAAGGATTTCATAGGATTAGTTCTACCATGATTCAAGCAAGAAAGAATCCGAAATCTGATTAAATTAACATTTGGGCTAAAATTATAAAATATGAATAGCCAATTGTTTGTTTGACTGATGATATGTGCACGTCCCAAGGTGTGAGACTTCGGCACTTTGCTACAAATCTGTGAGTTTGGCATTATTTCCTTGGATTTGACGATCATCCAGAGCAAAAGCAAACTCTTAAGGTCTGCTGGACATTGCACAACTCTGACGAAACACGTTCAAATTAAGGTTTTGAATAAGCTACGAACGCCTTGGTCCCTTAAGAATTTTGACTCTGTGCCTGAAGATTGAAAAGAAGCGGGAATAGATTTCCTCATACCTCTAAATTAGGCAGATCTAGCTAGACCGTTTTCTCAATGGTGAACATTGGCTAGGCCATGGTCAGTAGATAGACCAAAATGGCTTACAAAGGATAATCTAGCTCAACCGGCCATCAATCTTATCGCTTATCGCGCATCACCTAAATTTCCCTCACTATTCTCGGGAGATGGATTTGAAAAATAACTTAGACGGAGAGTAGCAGATAAACCATTATCTACATTGGCCACTACGAATCGTCGTTACTGGCCATTAGATTAGCTCTGCTTATCTAACAGTGAACGGAAATGAGGTCAAAATAAGTTTAAACCATGTCGAGGTTCTCCTTGTGAACTTCGTATCAATTCGTTTTTAAGGAACACGAGATAGGATGTGTCTGATAAGTCAGTTAATTTATGCTCAGAAAAGAACAGCAAGCCTGCAATATCACCTATAATCCTGTGTCTGTCAACCCTTTATCTCGTTTCAATAATCATTTTAAGACACTACAAACTATATATCCACGCATTCTGAAATCCGCCACTGTCTCGTTTAATCTATTATCCAATTTAATGTTTTCAGTAGCTGCTTCTTGTTAATTGAAAATACGGATTTTAAACACAAGGATGGTTGAAGATTTTGTTAACTTCATTCTGGAATACTAGTTACGAGCTGATGATCTCTGCATAGAAAAATTAAACAGTGGCTCCTAGATACAATATCTCGCAACGTTGTTATAGGATCTTAAGCAAATTTGCTAAAATTGGTAACCAAAGACCTTATTCAAGTCATTGCCTCAAAGTGTAATCATTCGAAGGACTTTTATATCATATACTTCGTCCTAAACCAAACGATTGTCGGATTTGATTGATGACAGAATTTGGGTAAAGCCTCCAATAATACATCCGTGTCAATTTGAAAAGAATAGACATCAAAGTGTGAAGAAGAGAAACTCACCCCTCGCCCTTGACAATTCTGATGTAGTCAGTCTCGTTTTTTCGAGGCGTAAACCAAAGACATGTGCTTCGATGGAACTCTATAAACGCCAAAGCGATAGCCCTCCTGGTGACACGGCCTAAAAAAGTTTTTAGTTTATTTAAGGTTTACTTTATCATTGTTGTCTTATCGTTAAGGACTTTAGGGATTACGAAAAAGCCAATGCATCTCACATTGCGACTCATGAAACATCAAAGTAGCAACAACATATGACAAATTCTATTTTTGAAATCTCTATTGGCTAAATATAAACTAGACTGTGCAAGTTCAAAGCTCTAGTAGCAGTTGAAGATGATCAAATGGCTTAGGAATGGGGCATGGCTAGAAAGAGTAAAGACGTTGGCAATTGCAGATACAAGCTATTATTTACAACAAAATAGTCCAGCAACTAGCACGATTTTTCCGAACCTAAGAATTAATTTCAATCCCTTGAATTGAAGTTACTATTCATGTGGTGGATTTTTCTCATCTCACTTTTCTGCCAAGAAGGATCAAAATACGCTTGCTGGAATTCTTAATTAAGAAAACCATTGCAAAGCCATTGCTAATATGAGGTACAACCAAACCAAACATTTGATCAAGGACCTACTGAGCACTTCGAAGACAATCGTCCTATAGAGTGGTAGTGGTCTACCATATGCATAACAAAGTAACATGTGGTCTATTGATTTGCATAACAAAGCAATTTTCGTGCTCAGAGGCACGCATGAAGGATATTGGGTAACGAGCTCTAATGTCTATGAAAATCTTTGCTACAGCCACTCGCGTAAATGATGTTCCAAATAACCAAATTAAATTTAGGCGACGAGTGGCATAGAAAAAAAGTTTCATTGCAAAATGGTTACACAAAAATATAACTTTTATTTTATATCCATTAAAAATGGTAAGAAAATTGGCTTTGATGTCATCACAATAAGATGCCAACTTTCCCTGTCTAATCTTGCGGCAAGGAAATAAGAAGTAGATTTTCTAACTGGCCCAGACTTAAAATGAAAACCTGTTCCAACAACAGACAATGCCTAGTTTCTTCTTTGGTTTCTCATCAATGTCAGTGAGAACAATAGAAAGGCTGGCATATTCCTGGCTGATAATTAAGATTTGATGTTATAAAATTAAATAGTCTACTGGGAAATTGTGTGGTACCTTTAAAAAATCCGCGCACTTTATCAAATGAGCCTACTCTAAATAAATAAATAATCACGCTATTTCGAGTCACATATTTCAGGAAGCATATAAAATAGCGACTTACCAACACTTGGGTCAATCACGTATGGCACAATAGCGTCCTTCCATCTTTTTTGATGGTACATGATAGTATCTCTACGTCTTCTGACATGTTTATTCTCCCTGTCTTCAGCAGCCATATCAACGATTCTCTTCAGTTCATTGTCTACGATTATGTCGCCCTCGATAACATCTTGTTTTTCTACAGAGATAAAATAGCCATGTGTTAATGCAACTGTTTATGAACATAACAAGGTTTCGTAAGTGTAGGGTCATGAAAATTATATTTTAATCGCAATCAAGGAAAACTTCTGATGTTGCAAAATCGGCTAAACATGTTAAAAGTTGGAAGAGACATATCCAATGAAAGATTTGAATTTGGCTTGGCTCATAAAATTATGAAAAGTGACCAAATTACAATGATTTGATGGGGAAATAGCCTATACTTGCGTGACAATATCTCAGCCAATTTCTAACATATGTAGCTGATTTCGCACAATTAGTGGCTATCCATGATGTTCTTTCAGGTTATGGGATCGAATTTTAAAAATCTTTAAAAAATATCATTGTGACGTCATTACTTTAGAACTCTTTGGATTTCAATGGATCGTTTTATTGAAAGCAACGGCAAAGTTGCCCAGTTTAAGGGTACTGAAACACTGTAACAGAGTATTCTACTCCAAGTCAAGGAATAAGAACTGAAACTATATAATAAGTGTACTACTCCAAGTCAAAGACTCGTACATATATAATGGGTGTTCCTTTTTATCAAGCTCTACCATACATTCTCCTTCTTAAACATTTTCCTTCTGTATTTTACACTAGTATGCGTATCTATTTCAGAAATATACTTTTATCACTGTAAGGCGTGTTTAAAGAATCGTTATTGACAAAAGGTAAAATGAAAGTTTCACAATTCACATTTTCCATGATTTTTGGAGTATCCTAGGGTGTCATTGAATCCAAAGACATTTAATTTGAGGCATAACATATGTCACTCCTAATATGCACTGCAACTTGTGGGAGTTATCGAAATATTCCATCACATAATTAAGGACGAGATTTAAACACGAAACCACAAATTCTGTATTGGACTCAACCTGAACTGATAAGTAAGAATAAGGCATAAAGATTACGTGACTTTGGCAGGCCACAAACATTGATCCACTAGCCTTAAAAGGCGGGATTACAAAGCTTTCATATCGTCAATCTGATTTTGTGGTATGCTCATTTCGAAGGGCACTCTACCAAACGAATCTGCTTCTAATACGGCTTATGTCAACGCTTACTAAACTGATCCAAACAACCGAAAGCTCGTTAAAGCAGCAGAAATTCAATAGCATTTCTCGCGTTACGTCTTGTTTTATCATGACCAATTATCAAGATAATCGCAGGTAATGACGACAGAAACCCTTGCTCGCCCTTGCTAACTTTGCAGTTGTAGAGGTAATGGCATTAAACAAACAAGGTTCCGTGGACAATAAACTATCGATGATAGGCAATCGTTTTTATTTGCACAATTTGCCTTCCGGCTTCTAGCGCTACCTCGCTTTTAAAATAGAATTCTAAAGAGAGGCAGTAGAAAAACCTAACACTGTGTGCAAACAAAACCTCGACTGCAACGTGTAACACAAAATTGGCGATGATAACATAGATTAAAATCAAAAACCTGCGTTCAATAAATCTCGTTATGTAGTTCCCCAATTTCTTATTAAAACGATCTGCTGACAACCATGACTCAAGCAAACGGGAAGACAAGGAAGCAAGATACAATATGGCTGGTGTACAGAGATAGAAAGGTCAATTGACAATTGTTGGTATCGTACACTAATAAAGTTATTGCGTCATCCTCTCTTTGCCAAAATCAAACTTCCAAGTGCCACTTCTGGTAACATGCTCTTATTGGCAAAGGGCGGTACCTCAATTTATTTCTTCCGGGCAATTTCACTGAAAGAAGCTCTGAATGAATGTGACTTGCTTTGAGCTGCTAACGTCAACACGAGTGTGTAACTGCCGGAGACCCTTTCGGGAAAAGTCTGTACGGTTGATACCTAGGAGTTGTGAATCTCATTGGCATTTTAAAAATAACCATAAGAACATGAATAAGCGCAAGGCCTCGATCGTGATATCACGCATGCCCGGCCTTCCCTGTTCTTGAGAACTTTGTGTTAGTTATCTTTTTTTTCTAAGAACCAGTATATTTACGTTCAGGCTAACTGTGCCTAATTTTTTCAAAAACCTGAGGCTGGATTGTTCTTAATTTGTTCTTAAATTAATAGGGTGTAAACAGTGCGGATTGCTAGCTTTTTCGCTCTAGGGAGGTGTTCAGGCCAACAAAGTAGTCAAACATGGCTAAAACTCCTCGTTTTTGACATAAAACGTTGTTCAAAATTGCACTCTAGAGTAGGCTGGCTCAATCTAAGCGCGTTCTTAATTTGAACTTAACTTTGGACCAATTTTGAGGCTTGTGTTCTTATAAAATTGTTTTTTCAATTGCTTTGGCCTTTATTCGCAATTACCAAGTAGACAAACCCAGATGTTTTCTATACATCAAGGTCATTTCTGTCTCGCAGTTCGAGAGCCTATAAAAATCTAAATATGTATGATAAGAATGCCTTCCTAATCTAAAGTTTGAATAAAAATCTTCCTGGGACTAAAGCAAAATCTATCATGTTTACACAAGATGTGTCCGACAACTTTGCATCATTGCAATGAAACGTATCCATTGAATTTAAAAGAACTTGCGTCAACATCGGATTTTCAATGCAAATTTTCCCACACTGCGCTTCAGTTGTCTCTGAGAAAGATAAACGAACCTCTCACCAAGAAAGGTTGTTTCCACTAAAATTTAAAAAAATTTTGCATGTTTTCAAATTGGTTTCACTGGATGTTGATTTGTTTTCTAAAAAGTTTGAATGCTTGCTGTTAGTAGGTTATGACCGCAGCTCCGGAAAGTGTCGAGTAAATAAAGAAAGGCACTTTGCGATGATAAAAACCGAAATGTTTAGAGATGATAGTGGTGATTTCTCTTTAACAAGAAAGGAACTAGGATTTCTCCTCGATAGCATAATCTTGGTCTTCAAACGATAGTTCGCTACTCGCTTTTTCCCTACCCATCTAGACAGGGTCATGACGACAGCAGTTCATTCAAGGAAAACTGCCATGACTACGACGAGAATGCCCTATGATTGTGTATCTGGTTATCAAAGCCCGATCGGTTTATTTACGTTTGGGGAAAGTGGCAACCAAACCAAATGTGGCAAGAATTGTGATTGTAACAATATTTTGCCCATCTCTCGAGTAAAAGATAGAAATGAAGTGAAAATGCCTTTAATTTAAGTTCCAAAATAGCCTAAATCATTTTTCTCAAGAAAAACTGAATGAACTGGATAAGAAAAAATATACTTTGGTTAAACCCAGGCAGGGAATAATTTATTTCATTGTGAGATTATCTCTGACTTTTAGTCCCTGGTCTTGGAAAGGCTCGTATTAAAATGACTTATTGTCTCTGAACAATGCCAGACAGCAAAATCCCGCCTGGAAGTATGTGAATTCCTTCGCAGACATTTATGATGGCTGTGAATCCTAGTCGGAGATCAAACTGAGTTTTTCAGCTGTGTTTTAAAGTCTCCAAGGATTATGGATACACACAGCCGCCATACGCATGCTGAGACCTTGGTGTTGAGACGCTGTAGGGCTTCTGACCCAAAGAAAAGGATCCCTTTCTCACGAGTACCCATTTTCTTCTGGATGAAATTTCGCCGGTTTGATATCCAAAAGCAAGATTGCAGTTGAAAGCCTCGATACGAAACTTTGGCCCAAACTTTGTTAGCTCGGTGATCAGGTTAGCTCAGGAAGTGACCTGCGAGCCGGTGACAGGAAACCTAACTGTTCAAAGATTAACCTCTTAACGGTCTATTAAAATAATCTAAAAAATTCCCTTAACCAAAAGACATTTTAGGTGTAACTCAACGTAAACTGTTAACGACGTCGCCTTTTGTTACCACAACGTATTTGTAAATAATATTCCAAGTTATCTAAATTGTTTTTTACAACACTTGCATGCAAATTTTTTCAAACAGTGTATTCCCAAACAATTTTCTGATCCTTAAAAATTTGATATGAATAGGATAGGATTAGATGAAAACAAGGGAACAAGCAAACAAGTTTCCATTCGGTTTCATTTCAGCGAAACTTAGTCAATTTTGAAAGTTGCACAAAATCGATCAGTTTTCTAAGGGGGCAATTCAGGGACCTCTTGAAGATGTCAGAGGATTTTTAGGCCGATTTCAAATATTTGGATATTGTGAGTGGGAAAATATCTTAAATTTTCATTAGGACTGACATCAGCAGTAACTAAATAGCCCTAAATAGATCATAATTTCCACGATGAACAAAAGTTCCAGTCGCGCATAGCTTGGTTGTTTTATATGAAGAGCTTCCTCGACAGCACACTTGGTAGGATAAAAAAGTAACAATTCATATATCTTTAAAGAATCATGATTTAAAAAATGCGGGTCGTTACGACAGGTTTGCCACAAAAAGGGTACTCGCAAATCACAAATTTGAAAGACTGGACGGAACTGATCAGACAAATGGATTGAATAATGGATTTAAACATTCGCTGTTGAATAAAATAAATTCGCCAGAAACAAAGTCCTGAAGACAAGGCTAATCTGCAGAAATTCTGAAGTATCACTTATTTGGCTACAAGTTGGTCATCTTGGCGACAACAGTAACTAGTTTTGCGCTAAATTTCTTAGAATTGTAGTCCAAGTCTAGAAAGATGGAACGCTTGCCAAAACATTTTAGCGAAATGCCCACTGTCACTAGAAACAAACTGAAAAATTGCAAAATGGAACAAACCTTTCATATCACTGTGACTCAGTTCTGGTGGAATCACTGCAGCTCTGTAAAATTGCGCTAGCATTAGCGTGGAAAGCAGCAACAAAATTCGATACATATTGAGCTCTTTGAATGCGAAATATCTGCAACGACAACTTGTCTGCACTGTTTTCGTCTTGTGCACTAGTGCTACACTTTTCTGTGTAGAATGACCACGAATTAAAGCGGCTTTGGCTTTTATAAGCCCAACACCCTCCTGTCAACTATGGAACAGAAACCTTGAATTGTGATCAATGATGCGGCCACGTCCGCCCACAACAGTTCTTCTGTTATGCGAGTCAAGTGTAAATTGCAGAACGACCCACGAGATGTGATCAAATTTCATGCACAATCGTGCGTGAATCCGGATTGTCTCCAGACATGTGCCCACGGGATGGGGTAGGAAGATGCCCCCTCGTAGAAGGAAATTGTACTGGAGTTGTTGAGGGGCAATTCACTCTTGCAAATAGCGTACGAGATTTTCCCTAAAACAAAAGGATTTATGGGGATTTTCAGTTAAAACAATAGGATTTTCACGAAAGGTGTACAAGATTTTCTTGGAGTGATTTGCCCCTCGGGAGTTGTCACCGACGAGCTTATTGTGCGAAATATTTCGGAGTAAATGGAACTCTCGGAACGGACTTTTTCAACTATCTCTAGAATCATAGGTGTATGAGACATCGCAATCATAGTCAAGTACCCTCTAATAAGTCAAAGTTTATCGCATAGGGTAGGCTGTATTTGGCTTTGTTCTATCTCAATGAAGAAATTACTTTCTTGCAAAATCCATACTATACCCTGACGCTTCCTTTCCCCCCAAACACTAAGTCCTCGCTTCATCCATGTCTAAAATGAAACTTTCGATGTAACACGATTTTTGATGAAAATACCTTGGATTTTGTGGCACCTCGATATTCTAAAAAGATTTCAAATATGAGCCGGTATGAATTATAAATTATCTTAAACGACAGAATGGGCAAAAGAAAGAACCTCCGGGCGCCTTTAGTTTTGAATTATTCGGACATGCAAAACAGAAGATTATATAAAAACATTATGCTCGTGTATTACTGTCAGTTCGTTGAATGGATATTTAAGTAAACTCAGTTAAATTTTTTTGTTAAAGTACAAGAAGAACACCTCAATACATGATATCAGCTAACTTTTGCACTGGAAAAATAGGCTATTCGTGATCTAATGAAGAAGCGAAATGACAATCAAAAAATCAAAGAAAATAAAGCCAGGCCAATGTAAGCATGATGCTTGAAACAATCTGGGCCTTTAAAATAAACGGGTTAGAGGGCCAATCGCCCCTCAAGCCCTGTTGACATTCTATTGTCTAAACAATAGACTTCTGTCCCCCTTTCTAACAACAAAGTCTTGACCCCTTGAAGAAAAAATTAACCAGAATCACTTTTAAGTGGCCACAGGCGTAGCTGCTGCAAAGCTACGAGGCTAGTGAAAATTTGAAAAAACAATGACTTTCAGATTTCCTTAAGGCTTGTATTTGCTAATTTCTCTGAACTGACAATTTGCTTTGTTTCGTCCTCCAGTGACGTTACAGACATTTCCTTGTTAGTTCTTCTTCCAATAGAAAGTCTGATACACATTTCTTGCCAATGCCATTGGTATGTGTACCGCAAATTAATCGCGAACCAACCCACACCCTACCACCACTTTCAGAGAGCTACGGGACAAAGGTGCCTACCCATTTCATTCAATGGCATCACATTATACTTTATTTCAACAATTTTTCTCATATGAAAGCATTAAGTTATGTCTTAATGACGTCTTATTTAATATGCGGGAATTTTCACAGCATACCAAAAGGAAAACATCTTAGCAACCATTCGCTAAACATTTTTCCCACAAGACCTTATCAGTAGGTTCATTGTTTATTTTAGAATGATTGGACGAAAAAATTCACTAGCGGAATAGAAAAGCTTTAGTTCTTTACGCAAGTGAAATCGCAATTTCCCCATATCAAATGCCTGACTTTCAGAAATTGGAGGAGAAATACATACAGAAACCTTTATAAATTGTTAAGGTGTGGCTTAAATGATAATTTAAAATGTCGAGACTAGATCCAACTTATATGCTGATACCTAAGACAGTGAAAGCTTTGTTTAACTCGTCTGGAAAAGTGAAATGATCTCTCTGGTGGAGATTATCCTAAAAAACGAAAGAAGAAAAAGGTATTTATCTGTTTTGGAATGAAAAATGCCGTTTGTGAATAGAACGTAGGAAATCATTTTGAAAGTAAAAAGGATGTGGAACAAATAGTAACTCTATGAAATTGGCCAATCAGCATAGAAGAGGAAATACTAAATAAAGTTAAAAGTATTTGGTATTACTTGTTTGTAAATAAATTGAAGTCTCATTGTAATAGTCGCATTGTCATTGTTATAGTCGCATTGAGGTCGCATTGTTATAGGTTTTTCGTGGTAACAAAAATGTATTTGGGCTATATTTTTGCATTTGAATAGCGTTTTAAGGAGCAGAACCAAACTAATACTCTTTTTTATAATAATTTTGTTTATAAGAATATTCAGGCTTAGAATCATCCACTTTATTAGAACAACGAACTTCACTTAGCCTTTGCTTGCATATTTGTGTCTCTCATTTTTCAGCGTTTGCTTAATTTGTGATATTCATAGAAGAATGTCATAACTCGTTTTTTCAAAAAGCTTGGCTTTTAGATGTAATAAATAAAAGTGCTTTGAGAACATTTCCAGGCTCATAACAAACAAAATTTAGGAATATCGAAGCTGTTCAAAAAATAAGTTTAATGAAACTCTGACACGGAATTAAGGTTTCAAAAGTAAAGAGCAAGCCACTCTATAATCTTTGGATTTTTAAAGTTGGGATTTTGGTTGCTTTTCATGGTCGGAGAGACGTAATTTTATTCATAAAGAAAATTTCAGATTTGCAAACAAGACATCAGTGACAGCTTAGGATAATTTGCTATGATAGTCAAAATGTCATTTGCTGGTAGTCTGGAAACGATGACTTGCCCAGGCGACAGTGGTAACTTACGTTGAAAATTAACTTTAATCTGAAAAAGCAGACCACACGGAACACTTGTTTTTTACGTTGCTCTATAATGAAATCTAATTGATTAGAAAGCTGCAAATCAATCCAGACAATTTGCAGAGTAACTACTTAATTGAAACTAGTCTCGATAGCGTTTTGGTGATTGAAGCTCAAAACAAAATTGAATGTGAGCTTTATTTGCTGACGAAATGAGGGGGATGAAGCATAGTTTTCCCCATTAGGCAACCTTCGCAGATTTAGAGAAGAACCTGTATTTACGTCATGTTTTTGTGTGCCCCGCACTGTGTATGCTACAGTCAACTAAAGACTGAAATTCAAATTCAACTATTGCTGAGATGGAGGCTTTGTCGAGTTACCTCTACACCCAACATTACAAATATACCTATACTTTACAAAAATACATTTGTAAACACAATACAGCACAACACAGCACTATACAGTACAATACAGTAAAAGAATGTGAACTATGTATGCGTTATTATGGCAGTCCAAGACACAGTCAGCATCAAGGACCGAAATACCGGGAGGAGGGGGCACCTCAAAAAAAAACTTAAGTAGTACAAGTACAATACTTTTATTTTGTGAAATATGGCTATTGTTACACTTATTTATTAAAGCTGCCCCCCCCCCAAACAAAATGCTTCACCTTGGTCTTTGGTATGCATCCTACCTTGCATCCTATATTTTGTACTTTGGCTCGATTACACTTTTTTTTAAAAACCGACCATCTTCAGATTTAGGAAGTTTTCTCTTCGGTTAACAAAGCACAGCAGATTTTATCAGCAAATCAACCGTTGACTGAAAATGTCTTGCAAAAAGGTTTTTTAGTGATATCAGAAACAATTTATAGTATATGGGGTAGAAAAATCAATGTCAAAGTTAAAACAACGACAAGAGCCCAGGGCCTAAAATTACCAAAAATTAAGAACATGAAGCCTTTCTTTGGGTATTGTCCCTTATCAATCGAAACTTGACTATAAACAAATTTCTTAAAAAGGATCAATCGCTAGTTCCTGTCGTCATTTCCTCTCCGATGCCATACAGGAAATTTTCGTAAAACGATTTTTGTAAGCAGTGGTCTGGCTTACTTGGGATTGGAGTGTCATAAAACATAAAATTTACCCACGCAGAAATTTGTTAAGTAATGTTGGTTCCTGTTTCGCCTACCATCAGGCAATTTTGCCGACCAATTTACGATTTTATTGACTAATTCATAAAAAATGGAGTTTTTCATCTTTCCACACATCATTCCTGCAGCCACGCAGCTCCAGGGGGTACGGGGGGCTGCCCCCTCCCCAAATGAAAATTTTACCGACAACTTGCCTTCTCTGGGTACAGTTTTTCCAAATGATATTTTGAAAAGTTGGCATAATTAAAGGTCCGCTAGGTTATTGTTTGGTAAGAGGGGAAACTTCATTTCTGAAGAGTAAGCAACATTAAATATGATTGACGTACATTGATGCCCAAAGAAAGCGATGTGCACTCTTTTTCTAAGAACAATTTCATAAGAACACGATTAGTCAAAATTATTCAAAGCACAAATTAAGAACAAGCTCAGTTTTAGCTACTGTGAAATGCAATTTCTAATAACATTTTATTTGAAAAGCGAGGACTGTTAGCCATGTGTAGGTGCTTTTCGGTGAATATTCATACTTGTCGGCAAATGAAGGTTGTCTCACTCCACTTACTTTGTGGGCAAACGAGGCCTCTACACCTCCCTAGAGCGAAAAAGCTGGTAGTGGCACTGCTTACACCCTATTGATATAAAAACAAATTAAGAGCAATCCAGTCTCAGATTTTCGAAAAACAAAGAACAGTCAGCCTGAACTTAAATTTTATTGTTTCTTTCTTATAAAAAGAATGTAGCACACCTTTTCGCCAGAGTGCCCTGACTCCATTTTTTTCGAAAAAAACCTATCTCGAGTTCTCGACCTATATCTTTCGAAGAATTTTGAACTGAATGGCTACGGAAAACTTGCAGTTTGCTTTTTTGACATTTTGAAGTTGATTCATTGTTTTTGACTCAAAGTCTATTTAAACGTCTAAATATTGCTTTCTCCTTGTTGAAGATGTCGGTTACTGTTTGTGATGCAGTCATATCACAAATAGTGCCAAGCAATATCCTAGTGCTCCTATTTTTATATCAATATTCCATTCTTGATATTCCTGTCTGCTCAAAGACTATAGAGTAGTTTGTTGTTACATAAAAATATATTTAGGTGTTGCATACGCAGCACCTAAATATAACAACATTAGATCAGTAAACTCCAGAAATGTTGTTTCATGGCGTTGTTAAGTGTGCTACCAAAGTTAATTAGAACAAGAATTTCTTCTGTTTTTGAAGTTCGTCTTTGATTTCGAGTCGATTTAACCCGAAGAACAGTGGCGTACCC